CAGCTTGTCATGTCTTCCATTGTCCTGATAACACGGCTCAGCTAGTGCTTGCGTCAGTTGGTCAAGCATTTGAGTTGCGTTACAAGAGATACCTCAGCACTAATTCAAAGGGCGGGGCTACACCAATGACAACCACACCCACTTCTCATGATCAGTACGTGTTATTAACTTTTAGAAATATTATAACTATTAAATATTATAAATATTATAAATATTGAACTTACACGTTTAATTTTTCTCTTTATTTCTTCCATCTCTCTATAGTAAGCAGTCTTCCAAGCCTCCCCTACCACCTCTCCCCCCTATACCAGCTCAGAGATCCACTGGTAGACTCAATGTCATTACGGACAGTAACTCGGCAGATTACACTGAACCTTACTCACCTCCAGCGCAACAGATCACTCTACCTCGCTACATGAATCATGGACCTAAGAAAAGACAGCTACCTCCTAATCCAGTTAGTTGATTAATGAATGTGTGTGGGATATACATTGTAGATATATGTGTATGGATTGTGTGTGGCTTAAAAATATGTACATTATACATGTACTCATCCAATTGACTTGTTATCCTAAAGTTTAATTGTTCACTATTACTCGTAGTATCATTATACATTTGATAGTACACGTACAATGTAGTATGATGTAGTTACATGTACATGTACTTTTATGTGTCATAATTATGAGGAGTGACGTGTGTTTTCAATTTAATGTATTATTTATTTGGTGTGTGTACATGTACACATACATGTGCATGTACACAATGTACATGTCTACTACTAGCTGTGTGTACATGTACATGTATGTACATGTATGTGTACCGGCCGGTATGTACAGTTTATGTTATGTGTTAGTGTCTGGATAGGATTTCTTGGTTTATGTTGAAGTTTGGTTTACCAAACACACACACACACACTCACCTTGAGTGTGTGTACTGTGTACTCTACTCTTGTTTTTCTGTCTTACTCTTCCCTCCCTCTCTTCCTCCATAAACATTATCATCCTCCGCTTAGTTTATTTTGTGCGGAAGTGATTTTTGTGTCGGCTCAAATCAACTCTAAATTGTATCAAAACATTAACTTGTAAATCACAAGAAATTAATTAATTCAAACGAAAATTTAAGCAATAAAAATTTTAAGCCACGAACCAGCTACATGTATATTGTGATCCATTATTTAGAGTAGCCTTCATATTTTGATATTTCCATATTTTTATATCTCCGTTATTTCCACAGCCTCCGTTAACTGTAACTAAACAGTCTCCAACTCAAGGACGGTCCTCTCATATCTCTTCATC